AATTATTAATAGACCATTATCACAGATCTTATCTCCATGCTGGTCCACAACTCTTACACTCCCTTTTGATACGGAACTATTGGGTTGTATTCGCCAGACGAATCATTCGGCATAGAGTTCACAAATGAGTTACTTGCTTCAGATTTTGTTTGAAAAATTTCGCCCCTCTTATGTCCGACCTCCCACCTTCAAGGTTTGAGCAAGGGATAACCTTTGTAATCGTTGGAGTTGATTTCACTGGTCCATTTATAACTAAGGAGTCCAATAAACACAAAAGTAATAGGAATGAAGCCTATTTTTGTTTAGTTGTATGTTTAAATACTCGAGCTGTACATCTTCAACTTGTGTAGCAGTAACCCATGGATGAGTTCCTCACATGTCTTGATAGATTTATTTCCCGTCGAGGGTTACTGAGTAAAATTTTGTCAGTAATGGGACTAACTTCGTAGGGGTAAGTAGGTACTTAAGGGATGTCTATCAGTGGCTCAACCAGGAAGAAACCCAAAATAACATTAAGTCACATCTCCATCCTCTCAGGGTTAAATGGGAATTCATTCCACCAGCTGCACCACATTTCGGAGGAATATGGGAAGCAGGGGTAAAAGTATTCAAATATCTCTTGATTCGAGTTTTAAAGGACCATATCCTAACATTCGAAGAAATTAATCCTCTTCTCACTAGAATAGAAGCTATCCTTAATTCAAGGCCTCTTTATCCTTTGTCTGATTCACTCTATAATCTGGATGTATTGACGTTGGGGCACTTTATAATAGGCACTCCCCTCATTGCTGTTCCAGAGCCAAATTTTGTCAAACCCTAATCAAGCGACTCTCGCGGTGACAAATTTTGCAAGAACTCACCCAAGACATATGGAAGAGATGGAAAGGTGACTATTTGAATTGCCTTCAACAGAGGGTCAAATGGTCCAATAGACAGGAAAATATCAAACCAAATGCCGTAGTCTTGTTAAGGGTATTTAACATACCTCCATTGCAGTGGCCAAGGGGAAGAGTGATAGAAGTCCTTCCAGGTCGTGACGGGACAGTGAGAGTAGTGAAACTTGAAACCGCGAAGGGAGATCTTATTCGCCCTGTTACGAAATTAACACCATTGCTACCTCCTGATTGATGTGGAATGTGTAAATTTTGCCCAGAGACAAAATTGGTTAGTGGTATGTTAACGCCACAGCATTAATTTATTTTTTAACTTTAAAAAAATAATCTAAATAATTGTTATTTTGGTTTATCTCAAAAAATTAAACCAATTAATTATATATATTCATAGACCCATAGCTTATCTTGTTTATATTCAATAGACTGGTTAATAGTTTATACTTAAATGATATGGATCGTAGCCCTAGCTATAAACAAGTCCTAGGTTCAAGTCCTAAGCTCGTAGACTTGGCAATTCACAGTCTGACTCCATCCGTTACTGAGCTCAGTGCTGCCAACTTCTACACTGCCCATTGCAGATCTACTGTGAAGAAACGTACTTCTCTTGTGGTATTCGCTGCTGCCCATTTGCAGTTTTAATTATATGAGCGCTTATAGTAAACCTACGTTTAGTCGCTGAAGAATGATTACAGTGCCAGCGGTTCGTCCATTTCTATGACTGTCACCTGCTTGCGACCACGTATAGTTGTTAAACTTTTATTGTTTTTTTGTTTAGTTTTGTGTAATTTTTACTTTAGGGTTAATATATATTTCTTAATTTTTTCCATTATTAATTGCAAGTTTGGGCCAGTTACGTATCATTCCTTTATTTCATTTTTATAATCAAATATCACTTTATTTTATTAAATAGTTCATAATTGTTTTTATTTATAGTTATTTTCAGCCAATCTTTATGTTCATTTATTAGAATTTATTATTGAAGCAAAAGTGAAATTGGTTTCATCTCTTTATTTCATCATTAATATATGTAAATATTTTAAAATAAATGTTCAAACGATACAGTCCACTTTTTTAAAAATTACAATTAGCTTAATTTGAATCACAGTTGACCTTCATTTGAAGTTTAATTTAAACTAAGAGGGAGCTGAACATATGTGATATATTAATTTTTTAAGAATAAGAATTTTAAAGTTCTAGATATTGCTACTAAGACACCAAGACTTGAATTAAACCAACACTTCCTTCACGTCACTTGGAAAAAGAAAGTGATCCTGAAGGACTGGGATGTCTTTATCATAATCCCAATTTTTACAAAAGGTGACAATCGCAAATTTCAGAACCATCAAGATATATACCTACAAAGTATATTCCAAGGTGCTTGAAAAGCAGCTGAGGATCCTTATCAAGGTATCAAGGTGTCCAGTGATTCTCCTCCAAACAATTCTCGTACTTTTTCCAGTTTTTTCTCGTTTTTTTTTTAGATTTTTCCCGTTTTTTAAAAGATTTTTACAGTTTTTTTTTCAGATTTTATTCAGTTTTCAAGTTTTCTCAGGTATATACCTGTTTCACATGAGGCATTTGGTTTCAAAACAGATTACATTGATTTATAAAAAAAAAAATTATTTTTTTATTTTTCACAAGTTTTTAATTTTAATTTTTATAAAATTAGATGTATTTGTATCAAAACCGTTTAGATTTTCCAAAAATCAATATCAAAATATTCAATTTTCCATCAAAAGTGGTTATATACAACCTTTCTTGATCAGTTCTGAAGCATTTTTGAAAACGGATATAATCGGTTTTGAAACCAAACGCCTCAAATAAACAATAATGAGTAGAGCTCCTATAGTGTAATGTAAGCTGTTATCGCAACCTAAGTCTTACGCAACTCATGTTACACTTTTTATTTATTATTTAATTATTATATCATGTAAACATCTGTTTATCATGTTGCTGGACAACGCATGTTTGTAGTAATCATTTTTTCACTTTTTAACGCTTTAAGCATTTCTATGTTCCCTCTAAATTAATGCATCAAGTTAGAGTTAATTCAATTTACAAATTTAATTAATGTGAGAAAAGTTCCTTCTGAACTCTCAACTTTTTTCTTCCATCATCCTCTATGCCCCGAAATTTCTATAAATTTAATTCCGAACAAAACAATAAAATGTTCAAAAACAATACATAAAAAATATTCAGCTGCTTAAATTATTTAAATCCCCAGGAAAGTATTTATCCATTTATTTTCAAAACAAAAATAAAGGAAAATGTGATCTGAATGACGCTATTTTTAAAAAAAATATTTTAATCAATTATTCAACATTTGCCAACATTGTGGTTGAATAGTTTTTAAATTATTAAATACGTTAAATTGCTCAATACAATCAACAAGAAATATAAGTAAATTATTTAAAATAAGAATCGTTCAAACTGCTTTCTCACAAGAGAAGCTTTGCATTCATGACTGAGGTTAAAATATTTTATGTGCTCAGAATCATAAATTTCTACTCGTGTATTATCTTTTAGATATCAAGGAACAAAGTTAGTTCCATATTTGTCTGTTTTCAACTCCATGAGATGGGTTCACCTATCACTGTTTTTCATAAAAGTTTCAGAAATCGTGCGAATTGATGTTTAGACAGTTTCATATAAATTTAATAAAATTCCACCTCACCTTGCCAACAAACAAGTAAATGTATTTTCTTAGATATGCCTATATTTCAAAAGTGGCCATTCGAAAAAAAAAATGTAGAGTTTTTTTGGTGTATCGTTACAATGTTTTAATGCTTTTAATTAATTTTAATGCTTGAGGTATAAATGGATAAAAGAAATGAAAATAATTCATTAATAAGAAAATATGATTATTTAAAATCCATATAAAATTTAAAAAAAAATAAACAGATAATATCACAATCATTGTCCATGCAACGACTTCGGGATAAGAAAAAAAAAATCGTTGCATGAATCCACGGGCGGATCTACGGGGGGGGGGAGGGCTTTCGGGCTGAAGCCCCCCCCAAAATGGTAAAATATAACTATGTTTTATGGGAAAATATATTAAAAAATTATCTCTTAAAGTATTATTATTGGTGTAATTACATTTAAAAGGACTTAAGGAATCACTTAAACAACATTTCATATAGATAGCTAGTTACTTTTTTTCCAAGGTAATTATCGCCATTTTTATGAAAAAAAAAGCTTTCGGGCTGATGCCTCCCCCAAAATTGAATCCTGGATCCGCTAGTGCATGAATCAAGGCCTCTTCAAAGTTCAGACACAATGTGCAATGAGAAAAATAATTATTTTCTTTAAATAAATCGAATACGACCTAAGAACCAATGCGAATTCTTCTTCATTATCGCCTAAAGGCTGCACTTCAAGGAAGGTGTTGGCGAACACCAATCTTGATTACAAATAATTAAATAGGCCATATAAAGATTGCTAACTTTCTACGTTATGCAAATATTTGTCCAACAACCTGTTGTAGAATGAAGATTTGCCGAGTGTGTACGCATCTTAAGATTCCCCTATAATTTGTAGAAATATTTCTATTATCTAAATTTATAAGTCTAAGGAGGACTAACTTCACACTTTTTGCAACTATGAGCCTTGCAACAATATTATCTATTTTAGAGCTGCAGTTCAATAGGATAATTGTTAAGAGCTCTTAGAAACGTTATCAGAACTTTGAATTAAATTAAATAAATGTCGACCCTGTAAATATGGTCTGTAGATTGTCAAAATAAAAAAAAAATAAATAAATAAATTTTCAGAGTCCATTTCCTAGAAATATTTAAGCAATTAAAACCACACACAAAAAAAAGATGTGGGGAGGTTAACTTCATAATTGGTGCGACTTTGAAAAATTACAAGTGCTTTGCTATCAAGTTTAGAAATATGATTCATATATCTGAATATTATAAACTTATCTGAACTCTTAACAAAACTACAAAAACCCTGAAAAAAAAAAACTGTCCGAAAGTTATATAGAAAATGTTCAGTGTCCTAAGAAGTAAATCATTTTCTAATGATTATTACCATAACCAAAGGGCAACGGTTGGTGGAAAAAGATAAATAGGGTTACAAGCAGTGAAATACGTCTTGTGAATGGCTGAAGATAAAATTGCCAGGGCTGCTCACGAGTTTAGAGTGGAGGGAAGGCGGCCACAGGGAAGACCAAGAAACCTAGGAAGAAGGAATCAAAGAAGCCTTCAACAGGAGGGGAATGGACTGGAGGAGGAGAAGGCAAATGGCTCAGAACAGAGATTCTTAGGTTAGGCTCTATAGGAAGGAACTTCACACCATTCAGCAGTAATAGAGGACTGGATTAAGTAAGTAAGTAAGATGTTGATACAATTTATTAAAAATAAAACAAGCCTGCTTAAATAAAACTTACTTCAATGGGCAAGCATAGATTTATTTTTTCAGCTATTTTCAGTTCCCTTCCAATTTCATCAAATATAAAATAGAACTCATCACTTGATGTTGCACATAAGCGACATAGACGAAGATTTATTCCTAAAACATATTTACAATTTTTTAAATGTTAATATTAGAAGAGACACAAGAAAATTTATTCAATGGAAGAAAACATAATAAATGTATAAATCAAAACAGTAAATCAGAAAAAAAAAAAAAAACTGTGACAATAGCTAAAACAGTATTCTAAGTTCCACACTGCATGGTCATCTTTTTTCAAATTGTATGCATAATTTAATACTATATACTCAATAATCCTAAGAGATTATTAAGGGCCTCCTTCTTTTCTATTTTTATACGGAAGCTCAATAAATTATTATTTCATATAAAATAGTGGAGTCAATTTGTTTAAACCCGCTAATCTTATGACCAACAAGTCTGATTTGAAAAATTCTTTTAGCATTAGATAGTCCTCATACTAACTTAGACTTTATAAAATCAAGCTACAACCTATAGAAACGAAGCAGTAACCATAAACATCAACCAATTTGAAGAGAAAAAAAAGTGTCCTCCTTTCTTACTGAGGGAAACAAAAGAACTGCACAAACATTTTAATAAGTTTACAATTATTAAGGTATGCACAGACCTGGACACAAAATGTTTATGTTGACATTGCCAATATGTTGCTTGTTGACAGGCTACAGGGAAACATTGGGTAGCTCGACATCAAAGAAATCTGTTGCTTTCTTTTTTGTATCTCTGATGCCCATTTCAAATGGAAAGCATTGCCTGGAGTGTACCATGTCTTGTCAACAAGTGGGCAACAAACTGGTAGAATTTAATAAGTTGGGTTATTATTATTATTATTGTTTATTTATTGCTTCTATATATTTTATTATTTTTAAAGTGTAGGTCATGGTTCATTATATTTAGTAGCAAATAACGCATGGAAAAAGAAGCATATAAAAGAACTGACTGAAAGGTGCAGAGCTGCTCCTGCATTTTGGGACATCAAATGCAAAGAGTAGTGTACCAGGAAAGAAATTTTAAAAATGATGAATTATTAAAAATGGTCTCTCATTTTAAAACTAATGTAACAAAATATTAAAACAAAAAATCTCTTCAAAATCAAATTGGATTGCAGAGCTACCATCACTCCAACATTTTATATATTCTGTCCTTGATTCAGGACTAACATAATGAACATCATTAATCAATCTTGCAGTTGGCTTGAAAATGGCAACATAGCGGAAACGCTACCAGTGTAATAAGAGAAGAAAAATAAATATGGTGGAATAAATACAGCCTAAATCTTTATTATGAATCCAATTTCACCTTTAACTAAAATTGCTAGTTTTTGTTTTAGGTTATACCCAGTTACAGCATCAGTTTATCAGTCAATTCATTTTTCATAACTGTACTCAAGTTTTACACCATGATTTCATTTATTTTATTATTATTATTATTTTATGTTTTTTTTTTTTTTTTTGCGAATCCGGTGATGTCCAAGTATATTTATGAATATCCTTATGTTTAAACGTCGTACTTTTAATTATCAGGTTTTTCGAGATGGCAAAGTTTATCAGACGGATCCCATTATCATTACTATATTCGTGCAAACTTTCTTTACCAATCGTCGGAATATAAACTTCTTCCCTTCCTACCTTTGCGTTCGCGTCACCTACAATTATTTTCATGTAGTTTCGCGGTAGTTTATCATAAACCCATTCGAGTTTATCGTAAAATTCACTTTTGACTTCATCGTCACTGTCTTCGGTCGGACAATGTATGTTTATTAATGCGATTTTAAACCAACGTCCCTGAAATTTAGCTACCGAAATTCTATCACTAAAGAATTGTACGTCCCTCAAAGCGGATAGTAATCTACTCCTAATTAGAAACCCGGTACCCAAACAATGATTCCCGCTTCCTCCGTACCAAATAGTGTACTTTCCTTCCCACATCGAGCCCTCCCCTGGCCAGCGAACCTCTTGCAGAGCCACGACATCCAAATTGTACCCATTTACCTCATTCGCGACTGATTTTAGCCCCCCTGCTGTGTTTAAACTCCTTACGTTCCACGTACCAATATTTAAATCCCTATATTTCAACTTGCGCCATGAATCCCCTAAAGCAGTCCCCACCCGGAGACCCGAACAGGGGACTAGTTTACCTCCGGATAATGAGCGTTTTACCTTAGGGAGATCCATGACTTTTTGTGGTGTTTGGTGAACTAAAGATATGTGAGTAGGGCGTTCAATCCTACGTCACACCCTCCAGCAAGTCTGGTGGGCCTCTACCTCCAGCAAGTCTGGAAACACGAAATCAAATCGATCATGTCTTGATACAACAGAGCTGGCAAAGCAGTATAATTAATGTACGGTCTTATCGCGGAGCAGAATGTGGGTCGGATCATGAATTAGTAATCGCGAAAATTCGACAAAAACTTAATATAAAAAAGAGAAAAGAAAACCGTTTCGACTTTGAGAATTTTAATTTGGAAAAATTAAAAAACCCATCAATTAGAAACCAATTCGAGCTAGATGTTAAGAATAGGTTTGAAGCTTTAGAGCTTCCTGACGAGGACCACGAGGATATTGACAAGCTATGGATAGAGATCAGGGATAATATTAAAGCGGTCGGTAACTCGTGTCTAGGAAAAAAGGAAAATAAGAATAACAAACCGTGGTTTGATGAAGATTGCTTAAACATGTGTGAAAAAAGAAAAGCCGCTAAATTAAAAGCTCTAAATAATCCTAGCGAAGACAATCTGGAATACTTCCGAATCTCAAAGAACGAAACGACAAAATTGCTCAAAAATAAAAAAAGGGAGTATCTAAAAAATAAAATAATTGAAATAGAAACTAATAGAATCGAAAATAACGTAAGAGACATGTACAAAGGTATAAACAGATCACGTAAATATGTAGGGCCCGTAACGTCTGGAATTAGGGATGATAATAACAATATTCTGACCGATCCGGTTGACATATTGAATAAGTTTAAGGACCACTTTGACAATATTTTAAATACGGGAAATTATGATCTGTGTCCTCCTTCTGAGTACCAGAGTGCTGAACCGTTAATAGAAGGACCAAGTAAAGAGGAAGTTGAAGTAGCTATCGGAAAATTAAAATCATATAAAGCAGCGGGAATCGATAATATTCCTACTGAACTAATTAAGGCATGCGGGGAAGCTGGAGTTTCTAAAATACATCGGTTGGTTAAAAAGATCTGGGCGAACGAGAAATTACCTGAAGAATGGAAAGAATCTATTCTTATTCCGATTCACAAAAAGGGTCCGAGGACGGATTGTAATAACTATCGAGGAATTTCACTCCTTCCGGTATGTTATAAAATATTCACTTCAATCTTAACCAGTCGAATCACGGAATATGCCGAGGAAATTATCGGAGACTACCAATGCGGATTTAGACGGAATCGTTCGACAATTGATCAAATATTTTCTTTACGGCAAATATTAGAGAAAAAATTGGAGTATAACGGTATTGTTCACCAGCTGTATATAGATTTTAAAAAGGCTTACGATTCTATTGACCGCCAGAAACTGTATAATATTCTAATCGAGCAGGGGATTCCAAAAAAACTCGTAAATCTAGTCAGGATGTGCTTGACGGAGACACTCAATAAAGTTAGAATCGGTAATAATTTGTCCGAAAAATTTGAGGTTCGTTCGGGCTTGAAACAGGGGGATTCTCTTTCACCTGTCCTGTTCAATTTGGCATTAGAACATGCCATTAGGGAGGTAATGCGAACCGAGAAAGGGTTGGATCTGGGCCGGACAACATCCGTGCTGGGCTATGCTGATGATCTGGTACTGTTAAGCGAAGACGTTGAAACTATAAAACTAAATACGACAACGTTAATGAAAGCCGGTAAAGAACTAGGACTCGAAATAAACGTGGATAAAACAAAATATATGGTTAGCTGCAAAAATGTCGATACTACTGGTGATATCGATATAGATGGTAATATGTTTGAACAGGTAGATAAATTTAGGTATCTAGGTTCTACGATAACTAGAAAAAACGAAATTGAAGAAGAGATTAAGGTTAGACTGAAGGCGGGGAATGCTTGTTATTTTTCTGTGACAAAACTACTTAGTTCGCGCCTCTTGTCCCGAAACTTAAAAATTAGAATCTATAAAACAATTATCTTGCCTATAGTTCTTTATGGATGCGAAACTTGGCCGCTTACATTAAGGGATGAGCAGCGTCTTAAGGTTTTTGAAAATAAAGTATTTCGTAGAATATTCGGACCGAAGAAGGATGAGTTAACCGGAGAGTTCAGACGGTTACACAACGCCGAATTGCGTGAGCTGTATCCGGGTAATATAATTGAGGTAATTTCATCGCGGCGAATCAAATGGGCTTGTAAAGTTGTTGGGCTTAGTAACGAGAGAATTCCTAAAAGGTTAATATTTGCTGTGCCGAATGGTAAGCGTCCGAGGGGTAGACCGAAGCGAAGGTGGGAAGATTGCATTAAAGCCGATCTGAAGGGACTGGGTTTGGACGGCGAACGGTGGAGGGAGGTGTGTAACAAGCGATTGGTGGTGTCGGCATCGAACCTTCGGGTTCGCTAAGCCTTATTATTATTATTATTATTATTATTATTTTTGTGTTGTTTTCTCGCTTTGCAGGGTGAGTTTCTGAGATGAGAGACCAGAAGTCCAGCCACCTTCATATTATTTTTTTTTCAAATATTTTAAACCTTTCGGACAATATGTGATCTGTTTAAGAGAACTGAGTGTTAAGACTCTCTCAGCACACCAAGAGGTAATTTCAAACCATCCTTGCCTGCCACTGTTGACTTTGGTATCAGTCCAGTGGTGGACATAATAATTGGAGTGGTGGTGATGCTCTCCAAATGATATAATTCCATTAATTCTATTGTTAGTTCCTGATATTTCCTGAGTTTTTCTCCAACATTGGAGGTTATATTATTATCATTGGGGATTCCAACATCAATAAATTCTGCTATTTTTCTCTCATATCTATAAGCAGGATATCTTGTTTATTATGATGCACAGCTTGGTCTGTAATAATTGATTCATCCCAATAGAGCTTGAGGGGACCTATTTGGAAACCTATTGGTGTGGTACTTATAATATGGAGTGTTATCATCTAATAAGTTGAGTTTCACTGCCAAATTGTTTATTTATTTTGGTCACTTGTTATTCCTCTGGAGATAATCAGTACCAGCTAACACTCCACACCCACCAGTGATATTTTGGATAGATTCCAGCGTTACACAGCATAATTTTTTATGCATCATTATCAGCTTTTATCCTAGCATTACTCTCTTATCCGAATGCTTGTATCTGCCCTTGTTTCATCTCACACACTCGCCTTTTATATACTTGGTCTTGGTTAGGGCAAGCCTTGCTGCAGCTTTTTCTAGGTCGAGGAAGACAGCCGCCTTGTCTGAGACTTTTGTGTGTCATGAAGAACTCAGACATTTCTTCTTGTATCTTAACTACACATTCCACCCTTTTCATAGTCATTCTCACAAGGCGAACTATCTTCCTTGAAATATCAAGCGCTCTCTCTTAGGTATATAGTGAGTATAGAAAATCCAAGTTTCCGACCTTGAAAGCCTTGTGGGTTCGCTGCCATGATATAAAAAGCATTGAAATTTCAACCTTTTTTTGGTTTACGCTAAATATCTTCTTTTTAGAGCTGCATAGATAAAAAATAGTTATGTTCAATCTTAAACAGCTTGTAATTATCTAAATTCTTTGTACAAAACATTTGTTTGCAAACACAACTATCGAGCTTTCAAAATTTATCCATTTCGATTTCTTCACAATAGTGATCGCTCAGTTTTGACTGGAAGGATTCTGTAACTCCATTTTGAACCTCGGCCAGAGAATTTAAAGGTTTTCCTTAAAGATAATGAGCTATCGACTGGAACAGTAGATGGTAGTCTGGAGGTGTATTGAAAATTATGTTATACAATGGTCCAGACCCCACCCACCTACCGTGCATTCTCACCCCACATCCCAATA